ACCGTTCTGTGATTCTATGAAAGACTTTGGCCAAGCACAGCAGATCCATCAAAGGCCACCACAGTGGTTGGGGGTGGAGCACTCACCCTGGGAGGAGAGGCCAAGGGAGCGTGGCTCCCCAGCATCTATAGGGAGATAGCTCATAAAGAATGTGGGTCCTGGCTCTCCAGTCATGCATTGTGGTAGGTTGAAAGAAAATCGGCACCAATTTAAAAGGGAGGTGTGGGCTGGACATCACACTTTTTCACCCCAAAGACTATCCAGCAGTGACACAGGCTACCCAGAGAGGATGTGCATTCTGCATCCTTGGATGTCTTTCAAAACTCACTGGTTAAAGTCCTGAGCAACCAGCTGTGACCTCACTTGTGGTCCTGCTTTGAAGAGCCTGCGGGACTAGAGAGCTCTCGAGGTCCCTCCCAACTTAACTGGTCTTACGATCTTTGATGATCTTTAAGGTCCCTTCCAACCCAAACCATTCTACAATCATATGGTATACTACCTGTGCAGTAAGCCGTATTTAGAAATAAACAATGTTTTTAAGAAAAAAGGAACACAAAGCCACAATGATTAAGCCTTAAATACACTTGTGTTTGTACGCTTATAGAACGTACTACATGGGTTTTTCTGGGGATTTTTGTTTCGTTCTTGTTGGGTTTTTTCTGGGGGGTGGGGGGGCTTGTTTTGATATTTTCTCTTTTTTTTAGTTAGGCTATTTCAATTATGTCACATGCTTTAAGACTAACGATTTAAACATTTTTAACTAATGCATATATTTTTTACATAAACAAATATTTTGTATGGAAAAAAGTATGCATCTTATTAAGGAAATGGTACAATAGAGAAAAAAATTATTCATTTTTGTCTATAACTTATGATTTTCAGATGAATTTTCTAACTTCAGAAGTTCAGCATCAGGGATTTGATAGTTGTAAACCATTACACTTAGGTTAATAGATGCTAGCAAGATACAGTTTTGTCTGATGATTGGAAAACACTCCTAACATTTTCACCTCCCATGTCATCTCAGACATTCCCCCCATCTCTCCCATCAGCAGTTCCTTCTCTAGAGTACATAGTTCTTACTATTGCTGTTTATATTGAATTTCAGTCATCAGTGCTGCTTCATAGCAACTAATGCAAGAACACTAAAACTTAAAATTAGTCAATATTTCTAATACAGTACTTTGTAGCTTTAGATACCTTTTACATCGTTTAAATATAAATAATGCACGTGCATGTTCCTACAAAAACCCCCGCAATGCTACAAGATGGTCATTAGAAAGTAACATCTGGCATGAGTAATGGCCCAGTATATTCAAAATTTAAAAGCTACCATTAAATGCTCACCTTTATCATGGCTTGTATTTACTATTTATACTGTTCATGCATACTCAGCACTTGAAATAATGAATATGACTTGAAAGTGATGACACAGAGGACTAGGGTTCCAATAACAAGATCAGGGCCTAAGGAGATCTAGTGTGTGGATTTGTGCATACCCTGGCGTTTTTTGTAACACTTTAAAACTCACTTGCCTCTTCTTATTTTTTTTTGGTGGTGGGGGAAGACATACTTATGTATATAAATTATAGAGTAAGCACTGAGTTAAAACTGGTCTAGAAAAACATGTCTCACATTTAACCGATGTGAAAACTCCCTATATAGTAGGTAGCCATGCTTCTACACAATTAAAAGCTCAATCCTTTAAACATTAAGAAGAACCTTCCTCAAATCTAATGAGGTCTTGATATTTGCAAGACTCGGTCCAAACACAACAAGCTGTGTCACTGTTCCCACGCACATTCAAGCTATTAAAAGGGTACAGGTTTTGGATGCGATGAAACTTCAGACACGTACATGATCAGTGTTCAGGCTAGGCATCGCCACTGTAAACACACTTTAATGAGCTGCCATGTGCTACTCTGCAATATTACTGAACTTGCCCTTATAAAGTGAAAATGCTAATACATTATCAAACTTAAAGGCCAAAGGAAATGTTTCTGAAGAGCATTTCTATAAATCTCTTTATCAGCGTGCAAGCATGAAAAATTTGAAATAAACGTTTTATTTTACAATTTCTTAAAGTGAATGCTAAAGCTACATAATTTCCATTCTTAAAAGTAAATAGAAATAGCACACTAAGCAGGATTTTAAGTCCCAGTTTTCACTATCTGAAATAACTTCTGCGGATAATTAAAACCATTCTCTATTCTTTTTTTTAACCTTAAAGTTCAGAAGTGATATAAACCATAAATAAGAAATCTACTACCTAAGGTGAGATCTGCTCCTCTCATCTGGGAAGCCCTCAGACTCACTGCCTGCTTTACAGAAAACACTAAGGTATGTGCTACCTTTGGCCATCCAAATGTTTTTGAAAAAAATGCTGCGAACAATCCATTGAACACTGTCTAGGATTAGGCCCAACTGGCAACTGAGCACCACGCAGCTGCTTGCTTGCTCCTCCCATCTCTGGGATGGGAAGGAGAAAATATCAGGAAAGGCTCGTGGGTCAAGACAAGGACACGGAGGGAATCACTCACCAATTATGGCCACAGGCAAAACAGACTCCACTTGGGGAAAAAAAAAATCAACTTGTTACCAATCCAAGCAGAGCAGGATAGTGAAAAATAAAACTAATCTTAAAAACACCTTCCTCCCACCCTTCTTTCTTCCTGGGCTTAGCTTTGCTCCCTTTTTCTCTACCTCCTCCCCTCCAGCAGCACAGGGGTACAGGGAATAGGGGTTATAGACAGTTCATTACATGTTGTCTCTGCTGCTCCTTCCTCCTCAGAGGGAGGACCCTCAGCGTGGGGTCCCTCTCATAGGAGTCAGTCCTGCATGAACTTTTCCAACATAAATCCTTCCCACAGGCTGCAGTTCTTCACAAACTGCTCCAGCGTGGGTCCCTTCTACAGGGTGCAGTCCTTCAGGAACAGCCTGCTCCAACATGGGCTTCCCATGGGGTCACAGGCTCTTCGGGCACAGCTGCCTGCTCCGTCGTGGGGTCCTCCCTGGGCTGCAGGGGGGTCTCTGTTCCCCCATGACCCTCCATGGCTGCAGGGCACAGCCTGCCCTCTCACCACAGGCTGCAGGGGAACCTCTGCTCCAGGCACCTCCACCTCACCTTTCCTCACTGAACTGGGAGTCTGCCTGGTTGTCTCTCTCACATCCCACTCCTCTCTCCGCTGGAGGTTCCCCAGCAGGCTCCTCCACCCCCCACCTCCCTTCTTCAATAAGTTATCACAGAGGCACTACCACATCACGGCTCAGACATGCCCAGCAGCAGGTCTGACTTGGAGCAGGGGAAGCTTCTAGCAGCTTCTCACAGGAGCCACCCCTGTGGCCCCTCCTTCATTACCAAAACCTTGCCACACAAACCCAATACAAATACTCAGCCTGGAAATTATTTCCCATACCTACTCCAAATGACATAACCTCTGCTCCGGGCACCTCCACCTCACCTTTCCTCACTGAACTGGGAGTCTGCCTGGTTGTCTCTCTCACATCCCACTCCTCTCTCCGCTGGAGGTTCCCCAGCAGGCTCCTCCACCCCCCACCTCCCTTCTTCAATAAGTTATCACAGAGGCACTACCACATCACGGCTCAGACATGCCCAGCAGCAGGTCTGACTTGGAGCAGGTGAAGCTTCTAGCAGCTTCTCACAGGAGCCACCCCTGTGGCCCCTCCTTCATTACCAAAACCTTGCCACACAAACCCAATACAAATACTCAGCCTGGAAATTATTTCCCATACCTACTCCAAATGACATGTCTTTCCAAGTACTTTAGTTTGGAATATACCTCAAGTTTTTAAATCCAAACAACTCAGAGTGGAGAAAGAAAAATTAGTATTACTGACTTATGAAAAAATGAGCAAAATTGAATTGTTTTCCTCGTTTATTAATATAATCTACAATATTACTTATCTCAAGGGGTTTTTTGGAGACCAGGCCATGTGATCACACTAATTAGCACAGTATGTGCTATTCTGATTATTTCTAGAGCACCAATTCTCCACTGCAATATGTCACCATGCCTTCAAGCCAAACACAAGTCGCATGTTTTATTAGCATTTTATTGTTTGCTTTTTAGCTTAAGCAGAATATTAGAACGGTTTATAAGCCATTAGAAGTCTCTCCAAAAAAAAGTTACAGTTTTGGCAAAAGTATTCCACGTTCTCGCAACAGGCATTTTCTTCATTCAATACTTACCAAACAAAAACATATTAAGGCAACACACCTACCTTACACCCAAAATAAGACTAGCTTCTCGCCTACTCATTTTCTGTTCAAATCCTCCTTTATAGTATGATGAAAGACTCTAAAAGGAAGAAAGGGAAAACAAGCAATAATTAGTTTCACGGACAAGGTGCCAGGATCTAAATCGTATTTATATGACCTCATTCAGAGCATTACATTCATCTATAATTTATTTTGAAGGCATGGAATGACTACAAACCACATAATATGAAAGGGCTTCTCCTGAGTGTTAACACATACAAAAACCAACTCAAAAATAACTATCTGTGTTTTTACAGTCTTCTACTGCTAATAAGAGATATTAATAGCTACAACCATTAAAATCCTGCCTTTAGGCAAGAGAGTCCAGAATCAAAGTACATACTAGCACAGAGTGAAACTGTGTGCATGTTGGGAAGGGTAGGGTGAAACTTGTTTATAACAGCTTTGCTACCACTGCAATGGAAAATGGCAAAAGTCACAATACTCAGGCATCCAAGGAATTATGGATAATCACTCTGAAGGCCAGCTACTTCTATTAAGAAAGCAGATAAACAGGTAAAAAGATAAGAACAGATAAATACAATATACTGATAAAGAGTCAATGTTTTTTTCACTTAAAGGAATGTTACTTCAAAAAAAAAAAATGTATCAAGAGTTCTTTGAAGGAACACTGAAAAATAAACAAAAAGAAATAATAATAAAAAAAGGCTTAGCATAAAGTCACAACCTCTATTTCAGGAAATCATTGAGCTGGAGAACACTGTATAGCAGCAGCGTATATGGAGAAATCCTAACCAATTTTTGCCTTTACATCCTTCCCAAGTGTAGCCCCAGTCAGCAACCAAGTACCACACAGCTGGCCCCTCCCTCAGTGGGATGGGGGAGAGCATGGGAAGAAAAAGATGAGAGAACTCATGGGCTGAGATATGAAGAGTTTAATAATTGAAAGTAAGCAAAATAAAATTAAACAATGATACTACTAATTATATATAAAGAAAAGGAAAAACAGCAGTGGAGGGGAAAAAAGCCCAAATGACACAACCACTCACCAGCCACCAATGGATGCCCAGCCAGTCCCCAAGCAGCAACAGCCTGAGAGACTGAGAGCCCCGCCCCCAACCCATACACTGAGCATGATATTTTATGGCATGAAACATCCCTCTGATCAGTTTGGGTCAGCTGTCTTGCTTTTGTCTCCACCCAGCTCCTTGTGGAGAAGAAGCTGGGAACGTACGTGCCATAGGAGAAACTGAAATAGTCCTTGACTTGGCATAACCATTCCTTAGCCACACTAAGATCTTAATAGGTTGTCAGCATTCTTCTTTGCACAAGTCCAAAACACAGCCTCATACTAGCTACTGTGAGGAAAATTAACTCTATCCCAATCAAAACCAGCACACCAGACCCCGATGATTGATGATGATTGGATACAGGATCTGTGAAACTTCAGCCACAGTTTTAAGAAGGGGAGAAAAAAACAGGAGTGGGAAAAGGAGCATTAAGAAGGAGATGGAGACGAGAGTAAATAATAACAACAACTAATTGTCATAGGGATTGAACTAATTGTCATAGATTGGGTTGAAAGGATATTTATCAACCATAAATTTATTTTAAATTAGAAAGGAAAAAAAAAGAAGAGTTACTGAACCACCACTGATGGTTAGCAGTGATCTCCTCAGTGTAAATGTTTCTGTAAGAAGAATTAGGGACTAGCCCACTGCTACACAAATAAGAGTCTAAACTGCACAAATCCCAGAGGCAGCAGATGTAGCTCCAAGACAGTCTGCCTTGGGGAACTGGCACATAGAAATCACTCAACAAGCCTGAAGTTTTTTCCTCAATGCAGAACCTATCAACTGGGGAAAAATAAGCTTCTTTTGTTGTTATCAAAGGGAAGTCTGGCCTGAGAGCTGAGATTATTTTTAAGTGTTCTTTTTACCCCCAAGTAAAAATGTGTCTGGCCCTTAATAAAACACTTTTCTCACTAAATATATCCATTCATATTCAGTGAGGATTTTGCCTTATGTTTGCACAAACTCTCTCATGTAATTTCAAAAGCATTAAAGCACTTAAAGGGCTCTGTCTATGATATCTAAGCAAAGCCTTTAATTAAGTTTAGAAGCAACATTCACACAAAAGCACGGTTCAGAAATACTTCACCTATTGTTGCCACGAAGTCACTCACACACAGCCACAGAAAAGATGTTTTCGTAGGCTGCTGTGATGTGAAAGTAATTCTATCTTCTTTCTTCCTACCCTAAGCCACACACGAAATAACCGCTACTGTAACACTACAGGTATCAAAGCTGAAGCAACTGTAGACGTGTCATGCCTACAACAAAAATCTGCTGCAGAATCACTACTATAGCTACAGGATACCACAAGAACGGTCTGTAATAGTGCACGCTGAAATTACAGGTAAGAGCATGTAACACTAAGGAAACACACGGGGCTCCTCCAGCCCTCGGAGAGGAAATGATGCTAATGATTTAACGGCCATCAGATAACACCCTTGAGCAGGCCGAACTGCACAGAAGTTTGCAACCATGCCTAACAATTACTACAGCCAGGAGAGAAAAGCACGCCTTAATGTTCTCTGCAAGGTTTTCCAGAACTTCCCCCAAAGCAGCTTAGGTGCAGATGGATTTCTGAGAAGGTTAATTCTTCTCTGCCCTTCAACTCTAGCGTACAACTCAGGAGGACACTGGTTCACTATTCACGTAGCGATGAGCAATATTTGAATTATCTTTAACACAGCTCATCTCTGTTCTTGGTAGTTTTCATCTAAAATGCTATTTGAAATAAGAGAATGGGGTGGTGGCTACAGGCTTAAATTCAAAAACACTTTTCCATGTTTTTAAAGCCTGCTTCCTTGACACTGTTCTAACCTCAGAAAGCCTTGATTCGGTTCGGTTCCAAGAGGAACGAAAAAAAAAATTCTGTTGTCTGTGTCCACTGGCACAAAGGCAAAAAGAGTTTGTTGAATTGGTCATCAAGAAAACCATTTTCTTCACACAAGTGAAGCACATAGCAAGAGTAATCAATTCTTAATTTAAGATCTTTATTCTAAACAGAATTTAAAGCAAAAGGAAATGAGACATAAAAAAAGCCATTTCTTCCCATTGGTTAGAATAAGGGCAACAAAGAGTGTCTTCATTTTAGGAAACATGTTGGCAAATTCCTATTTCCCTAATGAAACAACTTTTCACACTATTCAAATTAAAACGATTTTTTTTTCATCTGGTTGTAAATTCTAAGTAATGGCTGCAATGAAATGAAACTATACTCCAGGTATTTTTCTGTTATGAGGACTGCTCGATGAGCAGGGAGTTGTAGACACTTGATTATTTATTAACCCCAGCTACTGCAAACAAATTTTGTACTGGAAAAATCATCAAAATGAGCTCTCCATTTCTTTGTCCAGTTTGGGGTGAGGGGAAGAGCTACCATTTAATTAACTCGTCTCCTCGCATATTTTTACTGTTTAGCAACTTACGTGAGCAAATTCTGCTTCCTGAACAAGTGCTATTAATAGGTTTTGGGGCTGGGGGAACACAAAGGGGCTGGACTTGCTCTGCAAATGTCTATTCACTCTTGCAAATTTTCACAAAAGCAGTCAGCTAAGAAAATCCAACCCATTTGTACCATGATATCTTCAAGACACTTTCCCTGTGTTATGCCAGGAAAAGTACAACCACTCTTTTCATGCCAGGTAAGGGATTGAAAACCCCGTAACTGAGGCCATACATCGTATTACATGAAGTAGTGGGGTTTTTTTCTGAAAACTCTGTGTTTATCTACCACCAATACAGTCTAGCACTGAAAAGGTAACAGACACTGGAAGGAAAAAAACCACCATCCACCACAAACAAATGAAAATGACAAAAACTATTTAGAAGCTGTTATAATATCACCTACAATTTGCAAAGATCAACCTTAACTTCCATTAGAAAAAAAAAAATATAAAATGGACTGCAAATTGCATTATTCTCTAGAAAACTTATTTTCAATGAAGGACAAGAGAGACGGTTGTTAGCCTTATCTCTTAAGTCAGAACTCTATCAGTCTGAGAAGAATCAGATCCAATAAGGGAAAATGCAAAAATCTCTAATGAAGTGCTATAGAAGACACCCCTTTCTTCTGGAACAGAGAATTTTCAGGATTGTGGGTTTGAATATTTTGACAGTTAATTTTGCCTCAAATTGTTTCTTCTATCTTCAATATCTTCTTTCTATCCTTCAACCTTTAATATCACTGATTCAAAGAAGAAAGGTAATGAATACTATTGAAATACTTTCTTTTTTCATTTCACATTTTAAGGAAGAAAAAACAGATATCTACTTAGTGCTATGCACCTTCTACTGCCAACACACTCTTGTCAGTACACAGAGAAACAAAACAGTGTCCCTAACATTTGTGAGACCAAGAACAAAACTAGGCTCAAACTGAAAAAGTGTTTCTCTGAAAACAAGCATTCTGACTCTTCACAGAGGCAAAATTACAGTATTTCCCCCTATGCATTTCTCCACCTGAGAAAAAGATGGTAGAAAACTTCAGGACCAAATTACAGCAGCAATCACACTTCATATTTAAATATAATTAACTGCCTTAAGTTATAAGAGGTAGAAATTCAGAACAAACCATAATGCTTTCACTTGCCTTTACATACTATTTTTGACTAAAAGATGAGTGCAGTTGATGACTGTAGATGATATTTATTTAGGTAAGTAAATAGAAAGTGTCAAATACTCAAGATACAGCAAGCACATATTTAAAATGATCACTTCATAATTACTCAACTTGACCTTACCCAAGTCATTTATTAGTAAGCAGGAAGAAAGGATAAACAGCATCTGGATTACCTCGTGTGACTGCAACCAACATGAACTGTGATTTCTGCTGCAAAGTGGGGAGGGAGAGGGGAGTATTGCAAATGGAGGCAGGAAGAGTGGGGGCTTACAGAGAGAACCAGCTAGCTTTTGAACAGGCAGCTGCTTCGTAGTCTCTCAAAGGTGATGAGGGACGGGGTTTGATACTATAAAGCTAGAGAAACCACTGAAAATTATAGCACCCAGGTTAGGTACCTCCAAACAAAGCAGGCAGCCAGCAAAGTAATAGCAAGACTAGACATGTGAGATCCTTTTTCCAGTAAGCGTACGCAGAAATACTAACTGCTCAATCCCCTCTATCAGTATAGTTTAGAGGGCAATATGCTGCAAAGAAACATGATGAAAGTGTCAATCCACAGATTATACTCAGTGGCTTCGAATTCCTCAAGCTAAATCATGTAAAGCCACTAAAATAAGAAGTTTGGACAATAAGCACTTACAGAGGATCTTTGCACCTAATGTTTTCTCTATTGTTTTAAAGAAAAATTATAAACAGGGAATAATTTATAGTTAAGAAGAAAAAAAAATTTGGAAAACTACAATCCAAGAAAACAGTAGCTGTAGAGTAGCTAAGAATGAATAAACTTGGCTGAGAATTATATAAGGGTCTTAAATTTGGACTATGACTGTAGGAGAAAAATATTATCACTACCTTTACAAATGTAAAGCTGACAAACACACACAGTTAATGGCAAAAAAGAAGAGAGTTTTTACTGTACTCAACAGATTTCGTTTTACACTGAAAACTTGTGTTCAGAAGTAGAACAAGCAGGAGATAATTCTACTGGAAATAGAACAAGCAGGAGATAATTCTACTGGAAATCAACATACAATTTGGACTGTAAGGCAGGATGCGAAGGCAGGCAGAGGATACAGCTCCAGGGAGTAGGAACACTGAGAATGCAGAAGGCCCTGGGTTGCTCTTTATGGCTGTTCCTGAATTCTGCAGGTCTCAAAGTCGTTGTGGTAAAAATGATGTAGGTCTGTAACGAGCTTGGCTCAGACAGTATACCAGTATTGAGGGGTGTAGTTTCCTAGGAACTGTGCAATAGCATGTCATATTTCAAGGTGTTAAAAAGAGTCACTGCCTGCTTTCTTACGTGAACATGTCTGAATTTAGATTCTCTAGCCTGTATCTACAAATGGATAGAAGAAGAAATTCTGGAGTAAAACTGCTAGGGAGGGAGGGTGAAGATTGAAGCACTCCCTGCTCTGAAGCCACATGTCCTCATTGCTAGCTACTTCTAGCAAGCCAGCACATCAGACTGTATCTGTATCATGTGAAAGCAATTTAATTCACAGTACCTAAGTCCCTTCTGCTGTTTTGGCAGGCAACTTGGGAATCTCTCAAAAAAATTACTTTGAACAGGAAAAAGAAGTTGGTGTTGTCTCACAATGGCAATGCAACAGAGGGACAGAGAGGACAAACTGATCCAGGAGCAGCATTTCTGGCTGATACACATCTTAACCAACAATAAGCGTGGACCAGCCCCAAGAGGACAGCATATGTTTCAAGTCTTTGCCTCTCCAGGAAGCTTGCATTGATCCAGCTTGCACCTTCAGTGCATGAACACGAAGCACAGATGGCAAAAGAATTTGGATGCTAGCATTGTCTACATACTGTAGACAGGCTCTGTGTTGAAACTGGCCTCACACTAATGGTTACAATGCTAATGATCACTTTTTAAACAACCTACCTTTAATATATTTTTCAGGAAATAATCTGCAACAAGTACTCCCTCAATCCCCTCACCCAACAGCATCAAGAGGGGAATTGTATTCCCTCTGCTGTGGATAAGTGCTCACTGACTATGAACTCCTAAAGAATACACTGCCACAAGCAGACATATACCTCACTAAGAATTCCTTTAATAAAACAGGAATGGAACATATTTATTTATCAGCAGACAGTATAGACACTGAAGCAAAAAATAAATGCTCTTGAATATTCCCTGCATATGCTCCTTTCACAACACCCCATATCTTGCTTTTTTACTTCATTATTATATTTTTTAAATATGTAGGGTAAAACAAAGAACAAAAACTTGGCTAAAAGTTGGAGAACTATCTGGGGAAGAAAAAAAAGAAGACAACTCATAAATGAACAAGAAAACAAGCTCCCCCATCTCTATGGCAACCTTTCCTAGAAGTTTATCAATTTGTCTTCTTGTTTTTTAACACTGTATCTGAAAGAAAAATGATTAAATTTTTTCATTTTTAGCTTCTTGAAATGGAACGGCATGTCATTCACTATATGATCTCCAGGAATTAGCTATTTTCTCACAGCACACTTCAACACTTTATCATACGCTTACTAGCAAAGAGTCCTGAAACATGGAACATCACCAGGAAAATCAGAACTGTTTATCAAACTCACAAACATCTTCTGATATAGCTTCATCCACAGGGATCTAAAATATACCAGATAATACACAAGAATATACACAGTAAGGAGCACCCCTATCCTGGGGGCAGGGGGAAATAATCTAAGCAGCACTTACAGTATTTATCATAAAATGTCTTTTTCTCAAATACCTGAAATAAAAAATCATAAATTTAGCATAAAGTAATCTCTAAACTTACAGATGTTGAAATCCTTTTTGCTGTCTCTGTAATTGTCTGCTCCAATGGTTTCCAAAGGCGGAAAGCATAACGGCCTGAAAAAGATTGAAGTTAAATGAAATTATAACCAACAGTCACTAAAAGAAGGGGGAAAAAAAAAGTAAAAGAAAAAAGTCTTCAACTTATATTCATTAGCTTACAGCAGAAAGAATTTTGGTTAAAAAAAAACCCACACAAAAAACCCAAATCCTTCCTTGTTAACCTTTTTGGCTCATTTATCTGCTGTACAGCACCGTTGTACTTTACTATTTTTCAAGATGTTCCCTCAACAGTCATTTTTGGATCCTACCTAGCCGAAGTCTCACAATAAACTTGTGATGGTTTACATTTTTCAGTATTTGTGCTACTGGGGGTGTGAGGGGAAGAAGCTTAGTCTACTTTATCTAAAAGCCTAGTCATGGACTGCAAACATTCATTGTGCTTGCTCACAAAATAAACAGATTTAAATGTGTTTCCATATGATAAATGAAGATACCTGCCTTGTGAACTTTAAGAAAAAGGGCAGTACGAAACATTAGCTTTGGGTATACATTATTTATTAAATACTGTTCAAAGGTTATGTCTTCAAAAAAAGACATCTATGTACTACACGCTTCTTGCTGTGATGTTGTATGCTTAATCACACATTTTGTAAGTACTGCATTTTTTATTTTGTTACAAAGAGAGGATCTTCTGGGATTCAGAGCCATTCAACTCCCCACCGGCAGTGAACGGCTGTAGCTAGGAAGGCTAGGGGGAACTCTATTAGACTGCGTTTCAGAAGTACAAAGCAGGTCTGTCAACTTCAGAATCAAGATTTGTGCCATTTTACTGGAGGATTTTCCCTCTAAGTCTCCTCTCCCCAATTACTGTTTTGATTAATTATTTATTAGCCATGTAACTTACTATTATACACAATGGAAGAACTTTCTATAAAACGTGGCTCTGCTTCATTCAAACAGCATCTTGCTTTCAATCTTAAAATATACGGTATGTCCACAGGTTATTTTAGTCATCTAAGCCTGTGCCTATGTTAACACAGAAGTTAAAACCACTGTTAGACTATCACTGCTGAAATGACGTGATGTACTCATATATTACTGCACCTTCTTCTTAATGCATTCTGTAACCACTTTGCTAGGTGCCATGAATTCCCCAGCTCAAACAGCAGAAGAAATTCTAAGAGCATTCTTGTTCTGCTTCTATACCAACACATAGATAAACCAACCGCCTAATGGGTGTACTTCACCAAAGGTCTTGCCTACCCTTCCTCTAACCAAAAAAACCAACACAGCCATACCCAGCAAACACCTGCTGAAGTCTGGCACAACTTGTCCATCTACTGCCTCTGTTCTCGGTGTACACATTTGCACCTAGCTGACCATGGTTGCTTGTATATGCTGCAATTAATCTGTGTATTTCAAAAACAGAGCTGACCACAGTTACCTAGTCTGAGCAACCCAGAATATCGATCATGTTAAGCCCATGCCCTGTGTTCAGAACCTATTTTTCAGAAGAACATACAATCCACATGCAAAGAGTTCAGTTAACAAACAAAGTATCAGGGAAGTTTAGTATGATAAATCACTGTAGCCACTAAAATCTTCCATTTTCCTCTTTTTGAATTTGTCAAGCATCACCTTCACATCACAAGATCCTGTTGCACCCTTCTGTATTGAAGAGGCTCCTCCTTGCAATATTTTATTAAATAAACAAAGTAAATTGTTCACATTACATTTTGCAGACAAAAAACAGATGGAAACTTTTAGCTGCTGCCCATAAAATCAGTTTCTCCAGCTGTGACTTTTAAAAAAAACAGTTTTGGAAAATACATCAAGGATTCTGAAGGGACAGGAACTGTAACTGGACACAATTCTCCATAGTAGTCTGAAGTTACCTTTCCACTATTTATATTCATATTTATATTCATAAAAAACTCATTAACCCTCCAGGGAATCTCAGCTCACAAGCGACAGTTCCCCACTCAGCTGGTAGTTCAGCTTACCTGCAAATGCAACAGTTGCAACACCAAGTCCAACTGCTATCATAGTTCTGGCCTAAAGCAGAAAAACAGGTATCAGAATAACATGCAAATTCTAATTTGAAATATATGCACCAACTACTCAAGTCTGACGTGGACATTTGATATAAAATTTACAAGAAAAACCAAAGTTCTGTATTCCACAGACTACATTAGGTTTTATAGTTCAGGACCATTAACCAATGCATCAGGTTTAACTTGGAACTACCCATTAGGAAATGAGTGAACAAACACTGACAAAGCAGGTCGTAGTATGTAACGATAAAAACACAAGGCAGACAACTATTCAGGATTACTTGAAATTGTTTGTGCAGACTAGTTCAACACAGCACACAACGGTAAGTATCAGTATATTACAAAAACATGAAGAGATAAAAAATTACTGTTTTGCAAAGTCTTGGAAGTGGGAATCTCATCGGGACATTGACTGAAAATGGTATTGAATATTAACATAAATGCTACAGCCACAAATGTACGTGTCTTCCATCTTTCACACTTTGACTCATGGAAGCCCCAGTAGAGACGTGAAGCCCAGTAACTTCTTTTCATTACTCACCCTCAGCTGCTGGCTGGACTCTTGTAGTACAAATATTTGTAAATAGGGAGGTTTTGGACAGAATGCAGACAGTGTTCATTATCAGCTAAAGTTCGTTTTAAGCCTAACTCAGCTCTTGGAACCAAACCCACAAAAAAAGACTTGACCATCTGATTTAGACAACAGTAACTCTTACCTTTTACTGACTCAAAACCCCCAGATTAGGTATACATGTTTTCCTACACAGTGCTTGAAGAAAGTCAGGCATCTCAGGAAGGACAATAGTAAGTATCTCCTAAGCACTACATCTAAAGGTCTTTTAAATACCTCCAGGGATGGTGACTCAACCACTCCCTGGGCAGCCCTTTCCAATGCCTGAAAAGCCTTTCAGCAAAGAAATATCAGTGAAAGGGTATTTCCTAATATCCTGCCCCTCCCCTGGCACAACTTGAGGCCGTTTCCTCTCATCCTATTGCTTTTTACTTGAGAGAAGAGACCAACACCCACCTCTCTGCAAACTCCCTTCATGCAGCTGTAGAGCAACAAGGTCTCTCCTCAGCATCTTTTTCTCCAGGCTAAACAGGCCCAGTTCCCTCAGCTGCTCCTCACAGGACTTGCATTCCAGACCCTTCCCCAGCTCTGCTGCCATCCTCTGGGCATGCTCCAGCACCTCAGTGTCTGTCTTCTAGTGGGGGACCCAAAACTGAACGCAGGATTCGAGGTGTGGCCTCACCAGTGCTGAATACAGGGGGACGATCACTGCCCTAGTCCTGCTGACCACACTGTTCCTGATGGAGGCCAGGATGTCGTTGGCCTTCCTGGCACACTGCTGGCTCTTGACCAACAGCCCCTGGTCCTTTTCTGCCTGGCAAGCAGCGGCTGGGTGAGCTCTTCTGCCAGCTCCCTCAGTCCCTTGGGTGGATCCCATCCTGCCTCACAGACTTGTGTATCTAAGTGGTGTAGCAGGTCACTAACCATTTCCCCTTGGAATGTGGGGGGGATTCATTCTGCTCCCTGTCCTGCACCTCAGGGGGCTGCATACCTGGGGAACAACTGGTCTTACTATTAAAGACTGAGGCAGTGAAGGCATTAAGCGCCTCAGCCTTTTCCTCATCCGTTGTCACCAGGTTGCCCCCAAATCTGACCAAGGAAGGAGATTCTCCTTAGCCCCCCTTGTGCTGCTAATGTATTTATAGAAACGGTTTTTATTGTCTTTCGTGGCAGTAGCCAGATTAAGTTCTAGTTGGATTTTGGACCTTTTAAATTCTTCCCTGCACAGCCTAAGACTTAATTGTACATTTATCCAATAACTTATTTACACATTTTCTACCAACCAGCCTGACAGCAGGACTTAAAGCTCAAATTTCAATGTTAGTGCCCTAAGAACTGGATTTGGAGCCAAGTTGCCTTTGGTACTAAAATTCTTCATCTCTAATTGTACCCAATCTCACTTCCAGACAGAGAGGGAGTAGGGGAAGAGTTGGGAAATACCAGTTTTAAAGACTTCTAGAGCTATCTAAGTAATGGCTAGAAGACAGGTAGACAACTTTCCCAGCAAATGGGCATCTGTACAAGATGTAGGCACTGCCATTATGCCCAGCAGCTCCTGTCTTTGGCTCTGAGGGAAAGTGGCCATGACTGCTACCTGCAGTACTGAGCTTAGTACAGACAAAGCGATAGCCTGCTCCAAGCTCGTCTACAAGAAGCTGTATTCCTCTGTATCTAGCTTGTGGATCCTCTGCATTTTAACTAAGTACCTACCTCCCCCTCCTACCTGGATGGGGCTATTCTAGCTATCTGTACAGCAGAATACTGCAACTGCCTAGAGGCTTCTAGCAGGAAAAAAATAAAAAAAGGGAAAAAAAAAAAAAAAAAGAGACGCTCACTAAACATACTGAAAATAAAGCTCCAAAGTTAAAACTGGAGTTTTGGCCTTAAAAATCTGGTTGTCTAACCCATTTTAGTAACCCAACTCTTCCATTTCAGTGTAGTCTTCGGTCTCAATATTAGCATTCATTTCTGAATGTGAAAATAATGTAGTAGTTTTATGTCTGTTGTTCCTTTCAGTTCCACAGAATTTCCCCTCATCTTCAGACCATGAAAAAATAAGTATGTTACCTTAAATGGGAAAAGATATAAAATAGCGAAGCATACAGTTGTTCTCCTCACTAAACTAAAACTGTCTTCATTTCTTCTCACAAATCCATTTCCCCAGACTCTCAATATTCAAACCTTCTAAAAAATTACTCTAATTCCTCTGTTTAGACACTAACCAGAAACAGCTACAACATTTCTGAAGATATCATAACCCTACAGAAATCCTGTATTATTCTTTTCTGTGGTTTGTGACCATGGATTTATACTCAAAAGACTTTCCTGGACTTGTTCAGAATGACAGCGAGAATCTTTTACTAAGAGGTTACAGTCAATTAAGAATTAAGAGCTCAACAATGTGTGAAATAGATCATACTGGCAAAAAAAAAAATATTTATTAGTGTGTGCTTGTTCAAATTAAGTACTAGCTTTGCCACCAAAAAGGTGTTTTAAGTCAGCAGTTTACAACAAGGTATGGAGGTTGCAACAAGGCATTAGCAGCAGACAACTCATGACAGGTAAGGCCAAGCAGAGAGACCAGGCTAATAAATAATACCTGGACTCTTGTCAATTCAGGGCAGAAATAGCTTAAGTGTTTTAGCACAGCAGTCTGGGAACAGAATGTAAAGAGCCCTGAGGGCCTTTGATAGATTCAGCCATGTCCACTGGGATGCATTATTTCAATCTCAGTGGAAAGCACTAGCAGTTAGTGGAAAGCTAGTGCTGCCTAGAAAACAGCAGGTAAACAAGAAGCATGGCAGCAGCTCTGGAATAAAAGCAGTACACAGGATCAACAGGAATATGAAGATAAGCCAAAAAACTAAGTAAGAGTGATGGAAAGCTCAAGCCAGAGGCATGAAAGATTGCCCATTTTTTGAAGTGATGTACAACCACCAGAAAAGCTGAGAATTATTGGTTTAAGGTAACTCATCTTATTTGCATTATGCAAAGATTAGAGAAGAGACCCCACATAGTAGAATCATAGAATCATTAAGGTTGGGGAAGATCTTTAAGATCATCAGGTCCAACAATTAACCCAGCACTGCCAAGTCCACCACTAAACCATGTCCCTGAGCACCATATCCACAGGTCTCCTAGATGGTGACTCAACCACTGCCCTGGGCAGCCTGTTCCAGTGCCTGACAGCCCTCTCGGTGAAGAAATTTTTCCTCATATCCAATCTAAACCTCCCTTGGAGCAACTTGAGGTCACTTACTCTCTTCCTATTACTTGTTACTTGGGAGAAGAGCCCAACACCCACCTCACTACAACCTCCTTCCAGGTAGTTGTAGGGAGCCATAAGGTCTTCCCTGAGCCTAGAAGTGATAACTTTTCATACCACAGCACCTGAAGCGTCTGTTACGTTGTGAATATATCCTAATTATACACATGCAATAAAAACTGAATTTGAACCAATATAAACAGATTGCACAGTTTGTCTTTTACTGACACAACCTCCCTCATAAAATTAGCAGCAATTTCAAGTACTAACCAATAAGTCTTAAGTCCAGCTTGACTACATTTCCTTTTCCACGCTCACTTAACGCAGTCGATTACTTAGAAGAGTAAGCCAAGGTTTGTCTCATGCTTTAAAACGTAGAGTATAAAGTGCAAAGCTTTAAATAAGTGCATTCCTTTCACGTCAAAATTAAATGCAAGCAACTCTCTATCATTGTGGATCAGTTAATCTATGACATGCTAATACAACTACCATTACAACCATTTTTGCTTCCCATTGCTCGAAAATGCATTTTATTTCAGACATAGAAAGGCTAATAAATAGATAAATACATAAATAAATACTTACTTTCCATTATGACAGAATTGACCTTCCCCTCTCTCAAAAAATGCTGTTAAGAAATTTCTAAGATATAGGTTTTAAATGAAAGCATTCTGTTAATATGCAAGAGGGAAAAATAAAGAACTAAAAGATTAAAAAGTGACATCTGTCCCTTTCTTTATTCAATGAATCAGCTCCCAAAGGTTAGTCATCAACCCTATGCTACCCTGCTGATACCAGTATTTTAATTTTACTATGTAGTTCATTTCTCAGTAAGAAATCCTCTTAGATGCAGAAAACAATTAAACAATGTTTTGCCAAATCATTAAATCCTGACTTTAAAAAATTCTTTTCAGAAACATGTATAAGAAAACTCAGACATTGGAATGGTAAGTCAGGTCTTGCAGTTGCCTAAGTGTTTGGCAAACAAAAGAGAATAAAGCACATTCATTAACACAGAGTATGTTTAGAGGCAGGCATCAGATGCTGTTAGCATACAGAGATCTGTGACCCACTCCTTGAATTTTCCAGCAGCCTTAATTTTTTAGCAGAAGAAATAGGGAATAATGAGGTATTCTTTCTGCAAATTTCTAATCCCCAG